ATTGTTGTACTTACTGATGAAAAACGGTATATCGATAATGTATTTGTTCTTTTAGTATTTTACCAACCTTTTTACAATCATAAAATACGTATATATTGCTTATAAATCAAAATTGACATTTCGTGATGAAAGACGCATGCGTGGATGAAAGTTCGATGAGGCGGACGTGGCGCCATCTATCATTCAACAACATAAATAATTTCGTTCTGTTTGAAATACGAACAACGGTTAAATTATTTCGATATTGTTAATAAAAAAAAATACTAAAATCGCGTATAAGATTATCGCGTATTAAGAAATGGAAAGGTGGGGGTACGAGTGTGAAAATTTGGAGTTATAGGTATTTTTTTATGCTAAATAAAAAAAAATAAAAAAAAATTTTTGTCAAGAAAAAATGCAAAAAACTTTTTTGGATAGGGACACCCTAATCACCTAGCGGTATGAAATATACTTTACGATCTATTCTCATACCTACCAAATATACATACAAAATTTCATAACAATCGGGAGCCGTTTCGGAGGAGTGCGATCACAAACACCGTGACACGAGATTTTTATATATAAGATGTCATTTTGAATGTAGATAAGCGTCATTAATGGTGTTCAGCTTGTTTACACTATGTGGTAAAGGTAAGAGAGGAGAGTGTGCAGGATTATTTATATCTCAGGTTGTGGGAGCTATAGAGAGGATACTATGGTGTGAGCGAACGCCAAAGCGTCCCTCGTTGTATCCTCTTCGCAGAGCATTGGCACCACGCCCAAGAAAAGATACTAACTTAACTAACCTAAAGGCACCACGGTCACGCAAAACGGATAGGGGCACCACGGCCAAGAAAAAGAATGGAGAACGTAACTAAACCTAAAGGTTACCCAGAGCTCAAAAAATGGTACTAAATTAGACCACCATACGTCCTACGGTACGCCGCTTCAGAGGCTATCTCGTCGGAAGCGTCGCGGCGTTCAAGAGGTAAGGAAGGAAAGAACTCAGCCCAGGACTTATAGGAAAGTGATACTGAAAACTACAAGAAAATAATCCAAATTAATGGGTTAACGCACCAGAGCTGTATTAAGCAAAAACAAAATCCATAGAATCGAGGAACTTAATAGTAAAGGTACAAAAGCAATAATTCAGGCATTACTGATAAGGCGAGCGAAAGCCAAGCATAGTATTACAAACGTCTTTTAAATTAATTCACAATGATCAGTATCTGAACTCGGAAGCTACCCAATGCAAAAGAAATAAGAATCACGAAATACAATTTAGGCAACTATAGACGCAGGCTGCTCATCGGCAAATCACGGCCGAAGGCGCTACGCGCGAGAGCGCACGTGAATAAGACACGGGCACGTGGGTTCGATACTTCTAGAAGACAATATTCACGGAAAATAATATGGTCAGGGGAATCGAATTACTTGGAATAAACTAACAAATTCCTTTTGAAATAAAATAACCAAATAGCGATACTGACCAAAAATCCGAACGCAAGGAACGGCAGAGGAACGGCAGCAGAACGCGGTCGCGCGAAATTATAACCGCGGTCGACAACAGTCATATGAAAGAGTCACGCAAAAGAAATTATAACTACGAAGGAACTCGACAAAGGATAATACACGCGGGTTCATAATAATTAGAAATAGCGCAATAAATTAATACAAGATATGGCACAGAAAAAATATCAGTCAGAAAAAGATAGAATATTATAACGAGTATTTCATTATCGTTGCAGCGGAAAGAGGTTCTCGGAACGGTTAGTACAATTTCGAATTCGGCCGAAGGCGCCACGTCGAGGAACGTCAACAAGCAAGGTCGCCTCGGAGGGCGGCTAATGCGCGACGTCGGAAGGATGTGTGCGATACGCAAAATTCACAAATGTTCCACCGAGAATATAAAGACGAAATTACAATAAGCTTTGGCAACGATAATCAGATACACTACATCCTCAATAAATCACAGAAATCAGAACGGAAGATATCGCATACAAAAGTAGAAATATGAAATTCACACTTCAGCAAAGGCCACGGAAGATTAACAAAAACAAGAAAAGAATTTCGTTTAATTTATTTCACTTTGAAAGAGAAAAATAGGCGAAAAACTACAATTCCGATTAGGTAAAGCAAAGACGGCGTGGGCTCGTCACTAAATTTAACAACACTTAGGGTTCGGAAGTCTCACAATACTTTTGCAGAAAAGAGAGGCGAACGGAGGGGCTGACGTGGGCGATCGGCAGGCCTTAGGCGGGCCAGGGAGGAAAGCCTCATTTCCCTGCCGGCCGGAAACGGCGGAGTCCCCTTCCGGGTGCTCCAGGGTTTCTTTGGCGTCATGGCAGCAGCAGGATCCCGGCGACATCCAGGTCGACGGAACCGACGGGTATCTCTTGGTCGGTGGGAGCGGCGTGCTGATCCCTCCAAGGTTGTCCTTTACGTCAAAAATCTCAAAATCGGCATCAACAGCCAAACGGAATCGCCATAAAATCCTCCAAAATCTCCAGGGTGGCTGTCCTGTCCTCACGCCCTTATGTCGTTGTCGAGAGACTTGAGAGTAGAGATTGAGTATATCGTAACAAAAACAAAAGATTAATTAGTCTTAGAAAACGTAATCGGAACTGACATCCAGGACGATAGTAGACGTTCACAAACGTAAAACTTAATAGTAATGTCGCAGACGGAATTTCGCTAGTGGGTTGTCGTGCGGAGCCTAGGTTGAGCGGAAAAGAAAAGTTTATTAATTTTTGTGGCGCGATTCGGGAGAATCACGTCACAGTATATTCCGGTTTGTCTTCAATTCTTCTGCTAATTTCTTTTTGGCTTCTGAGAAGCGACTTCTTTGCTTGTCAGTACGGTCCGTATTTTTAAATCCGGGTCCCTTGTACCTACGCTTATTTTTTAGTATTTCATGCACTTCGGTCTCTAAAAAAACTACAATCGGTTGACATTTATCAGTGACAGAGTCAAGGATTTCCAAAACCTTTGCATGATCCTTTGCCGGTCTTCCAGCAACTGGTCCTTCGGACTGTTCCTCGATGATGAATAAAATGTAGTTTTTGGAACGCCGGGGGCTGTTCTTCTGTTCTTATTGAAATTTTGTTAGGATCGTTCAAAAAATTTCACTGTGCCCCAGATAGGGCTTATATCAGCTTTCACGTCTCCAAGGGAGTTTACGGTTTCTGTGTTTGTCTCGATGTCTGTTTTGCATCCTATAACAGTTTCTTCATGGACATAATATCTGAACGTAATTCCCCTACCGCGTTATCAAGTTTTGCATTAGTTATGTAATTAGCTTTCACCGTCTCAAGTTCCTCCTTCAGTTCCTCTAAGCCTTTGGCGAACTTGTCGCAGTTCAATTTGTTTTCCTCAAGGTCACCAACTGTAATTTTGAGTTCATGGTGCTCGCAAGCTATGGTTCACACTGTTGTGTACAGTGTAGAAACGTGCTCCATTAATCCTATGCACCGATCACAGTAAAAGAGCATGAGATGTAAGAGAATAGTCGGAAGGTTTAAGTACCATAAAAGATAACAATTTATTCAGAATTGATGTTTACAGAATGCCGGTCGGAAGCGGACTGACTGGTCTTCACGGGTAACCTTACAGAGTCATCTGGCGTCAATTTAAAATTTAGTATTCACACATTTAATTTAAATCTCCCAGAGACATTTTTTTAAATTCAATTACCTTCATTTCTGAGGCTTCGAGTTTGGAGTATGCCGTGTAAAGAATTTTTTGGCAGTTATCGTATGTTACTGTCAGAGGTTTTGCGCTGATTCCCGGCTGTTTATAGCTAGCACGCGATGGGCCAGAAGCCATCATTTCATAAGCTGGACGCCGACAAGATGTTAGTTTCCCATTTAAGATTTAAGTGATGACTGTTATCTTTGTTTTATAGGCTATAGCGTCTATAAATATTGATATTCGCAGGGCTGCCTAACCTCCAAAACCTACCGCGAGCACTTATTCCTCCAACGACGAATCAACTTCTCAGATAGCGTGAGAATAATTGGTTTAGTGAAGAAGAGTAAAATAATCATTACAATTTTTTGTTGTGTACTTCAGACTGCGTTAAATATTTATAAAAACTATGAAAAATATATAAAGTGCAATATTCACTAGTATTTAATTCGCCACTTGGCGGAGTTCTTGTATAACTTGATTATTGAAAAATAAGGCTACCTTACTTGTTTTTTGATTTAGGTATTTGCGATGTGCTTAGTCTCGTGTCGTTCGACGAAAAGGTATGACCTACTGGCAATGATCGCTTAGAACATGAGGAGGGAGGGATAGAAATCGGCGGTAATGCCCTCTTCACGCTCGTAGGAACTGCTGTTGGTAATGCAGTGAGCATTACACATTGAACAAGTAATACAATCACATTGCGTTTCTCGTTACATAAGCAACGAGTAAAAATCAGTAACTCGTAAAAACAAGTAACAAATTGTGTCCGTCTCCATTTTCATTTCTCTTGCATGCATACTGCATCCGATAATTGGAACGTTTCCGGCCACTGGGATATTTACCTTACTATAGTGTTTAAAAACTCAGAGTGCTTATAAAATGTAAGGTCATTTCTATTTTACATTCCGTTTCATTCCCTTCATTTTTTTCTATGATTTCATCCTCTACGATATTTGCATATTTCATTACTTCATTCAGCGTCTCAGAATCTATAGAAAACAATAAAAGTTTCACTTGCCTTCATATCCTCTTTTCTATGTCTATATCCAAAGTTCCAGATGAACTGTTGAAGCAATCGACTTGAAATTGACACGAGAAAATTCCATGTGTAGATTGCACAATAATATCAGTAGATGTGTGAGACTTCCGATTTCAAAATAGTGCATGCTGAAGTCTCCGAAAATGTAGTGTTGTATGTCTATAACTATTACATTATTACTTAACTATATTAATTTGTTTGCACTGGCGAATGCACAAGAAGCGTCCGAATTGTTCTAGTAGTCATGCTGAACCTGTTTATCTTGATATTTATGTAAATATTTTCGTTGCAGCTACTGTCTCCACGGCTACACATCAAATCAAGAAAAGCACCTGCACCAGACGGTTTTATCAAGCATTCTTCAAAACTAGATGAGGATACCGAAAGCTCGGTTTTTGTTCTTTGGAAATATGGCGAAATAATGGAAATCTATTTAAATCCATCGGAAAAATTATCAGGATTAAATTTAAAACGAGGTCTGGCCAGTCTCTTTCAGTATAAAAATGTTGATGGAGAATTTCAGGAACGAGATGCATCTGGACTCTGCAATGTGTCATATAATTTGATTAGAGCACGTTTTATAAAGAAACAGAAAATTATTTGCCAACAGAACGTCTATGCCCAGGAAAAAAAGCATCTCATACCTATAATGGGTGTTGCTGTTACTAGCTCCCGTATGTCCATGTATGAATTAACTCAAGCATTTTTGCCCAAGTCCATTATTGATTATGAGAACCACACAATCAATTTAAGAGGAAAACAAAATGTCGGTACTATCATTACTTCGCAAAGAACGTTGACATTACTTCCGGGAACATTGGATACATCACCGGTTCAAACAGATACCGTAAAGGATGCCATTGCTCTTCTTGAACAAAGCTTCAGAAAGATTCCGATTGAGTTGCAACCTGAGCCTGTGTTATGTCCACATTCTGGATGTATAACGGTTAGTATATTTATTCGACTACGTCAAAACCAAAAGGAAATCACTGTTTTTCATACTTTTGTATGTATGTGACTATGTTTACGTATTACTTTCGAAGGCCTAAATGATTATAATTGATTTTGACAAAGTAGGTGTTTGGTTTAGCCCTCGAAGTACCAGCGCTGTTGATATACGTCGCTGAATTTCTGTGTCATCGCTGGGCCCAGCGACGCATATCTGCGGCGTGATTTAATCCAACAATATTATCGTTGTATATTCTAAAGTTTTATCGGTATATAGGAATCTTAAAGATTCACGAGACGTCTCCGGATTCCCAGTTCGCGAGTATTTGTTCCTATTTTAGGTAGCGGGTGCTCCGTAGCTTGAAGGTCCCTGTTACGCAGGATGAGTAATTGCTCCCTGCTAGTTACTCCGTACGCGTTAGACTAATTAACATAACTCAACTGATATCATACGTAAAGCTGGACACATTCGCGAGGTGAGCGGTGAGATAAGTGGCAGCGCGCACAGCTAAGGGCCAGCTGATGACCATGACGTCAATCAGTCTTCGGTCCTTCTCCCTCTCACGTCGATCATCCTTCGCTGGTTCTTTTTAAGATCCGGTAAGCGCGCGAATACAATATTCGCAGCATGAGACATAGCAAAAATAAAATAACAGTTTTAAGTTATTCTACTCATTCCAGAAATCAGGTAAAATCAATTCAGAATCTGATAAACGTGAAATGATCGACCTTTATAATCATGTTCATGTTCATTCATGTCCAAGAAAAACCAACAGATGGTCAATCCGATTTTTTATCAGGCAGCAGTTAACAGTTGTATTCTTGATAATTTAAATGCAGAAAATGAGAAGTTGCGCAGCTGACATTTTTTAAAGTGACTATCTCTAGCACTCCAGCATTATCCCACATCTCCATGAGACAAAAAGCTTCACGGGTTGCCTAAAACGGTAAAGAAGAATATATTAGATATTCTTGGCGAGCGCGAAGAGCCTGATTTAAGTAGAACGGATAAGCTCAAAAAGTGAAAAAGTTAGTCTTTTTGTCCTTTAAAAGATGACAAAAAAAATTATTGTTGTTTGCAAAATGCAAAAAACCTGCATATGAAATCATATACTTTTTTTTGTTATGGCCGTTTCCATAGAAAACCGTTGAATAAAATAACTTTTTATGCTAAATAAAAACTGTTGAAAAATCATTGCTTTTTAACCTCATGTCCCATTTTTGCAGTGAAAATTAATTGAAATTAGTATGTTTGCAGATATATACTAGAAAAACTAGAGAAAAAACACTTCACAGTATATTGAATAAATTACCATTTTTAAGGTCGTGTAATTAAGCATTTCCTTTTCAATAAGGGATATGTCATATTTTTGCCCCCGATATCCTGATTTTTTAGCTTTAATTTCGTTTTTGAATATTGTATTTTCATTAATTTTTTTATAAAATTATGATTTTTTAACGAAACCTGTGCATGATTTGTTATAAAAGTATACTTAAATAAATAATTCTGAAAAGATATCTTTGAATACTTTTAGTAGAAAATTTAAACATACCTCATGATATTTTATAAAATTTGTGATCGCTATTTAATGTCTAAAAATTACGATGGACGTGAACAATTCACGTTTACGGTAATAAAATGCCAAAAATTCCTTTTTGGGATTAGGGTTAAAGGTCTAAATCCATGAAATTAATTTTTCCTGCAAGAGTAAATACACCTGATGCGACCACATAATACATGCGGCCGTGCCTCGAACGTCGACATATAGTACTGGACTGCTCACTGTAGCCGCAGAAAGTGTAACCGGGAATAGAAACAGAGAGCGAATCGTTAGAACCGTTCTGTCCTTTCCTATAATTTTTCTATTGGTCGAAGGTTTTCTGGATGGAAGGAGTTCAGGACTGTAATATGCAAAATAAGAACCATGTGAAAGATTACTTCGCACATGTATAATGTACGTTGTTACAGTCAAACGGAGACAGAAGTGTTTATCAACATTCAATATTACTAAAAAAAATGGTGATTCGCTTTCTTAAGTCTGGGCTATCACGAGACCTGTATTTTGAGCACAATACGATAAGCTTTCACAAGTAAGTAAAGTAGAAATATAACCTTCAATTTTATGGTTAACATAAGATTAAATCAATTCTTAAACTTATAAAATATATAAATAAGGTTCATCATACATATATTTTACTGCGCGAGGTTCCCTTATTCCTGATTCCGCTCCTGCCCAAGAGAAGGACAGAAGGACAGAACAGTTCTAACGATTCCCTCTCTCTTTCTATTCCCGGTTACACTTTCTGCGGCTAGAGTGAGCAGTCCAGTACTATATGTCGATGGCCTCAAACCAAACTTACCTAGATAGCAACGTTTCTGATAACACAATGTATCTGTGCAGGCAAGTGAACTGCTTTTCAGCAAACATTTGTTGAGAATTTGTTTAAAATTTGCTATAAATTATAAATTTAAAAAATAATGCCAGCAAATTTACAACAAAAGCTTGGCTATATTTGTAGCAAGTGCATTCTTTTGCGCTGTTATTGTTGTAAATTTATGTTGCAAAAATGCAAAAAAAGTAATTAATTTAATAAAATCACAATTTGTTGACCATAAATTAATTTTTTTAATTGATTCAATCTGAATAAAAAATGACAAAAATGCTAATGAAATCTTATTATTGGAATTATAATATTTTGTTTATAATTTCCATTCGTGTTATCTAGGTATTTGTTCAACATTTTTCTATGTAGCCTAAACATTAGTACTGCTAAACTAAACTTCTGCATTAGTTCAATCTAAATGATTTTAGTATATCCATTTTCTTTATTCCATTGAGCACTTTGTATTATAGCTTGAAGAAATACTGGAACAAAATCGGGAAGCTCTCGAAGATGCTGCAATGGGGTCAGTGAAGTCAGCAAGTGCGCTCCTTAAATTAATACCATTGGTCAGAGATGCCAGCCCTGAAGAACTAGATAAGTTATTGAAAAGTCCACGCAATACAAAATTTAAATCGCAATTATATGATATTCTGGGATCAGCAGGGACTTCCGTATCACATCAGACAGCTATGAAAATTCTTGAACAAGAGAAGATAAGTGATGATATTGAACGATATCTGCGGGCGTTATCAATATCTACTAATCCGAATACTGATATAATTAAAGATATTTTAAGAAGATCTAAAGAGACAATGCAGAATACTAAAATTTCAGAAACTCTTGCTTTGACAGCAGCTGCCATGGCCAGACAAGGTGGCTCACCAACAATACGTGAAAGAGTCAGAGGAAGTTTGGAAATCCAACTGGGTAACTGCTTAAGTGATGAATGCAAACTAAAATATCTTAGAGCTTTACGTAATTTAAGAACTAAGACCATTATCCCTACCTTATTGAATTATGCTATCAATGAAACTAATTTGGTCAGTTTAACGGCTTGGCGCGCCTTGAGATATTTGCCAAAAGAGGATTTAACCCATGAAGTAAAAATCATAGCAGCCAGAATTTTTTATCAAATTTTATATCCCAGAAGAAGCATTAGCACTCGAATTGCTGCACTAGACATTATATTGAAAGCCGATCCTTCGAAGAAGGACCTCCAAGGTCTTATTCAATACCTTGCAACGAATGACAGTGCATATGAAATCCGAATATATCTAGTTCAACGAATGGAACAAATTGCAGAGAACAATGTTAAATTTGCTAAAAAATTAAAAGAAGCGTTCCAATCTGCAACTATGAAGATCCTAAATTATAATGTGCTCTCCCTGAAAGGATTCAGTAGGGCCTTTACTAGAAGTTTTTTTAAATCTGCCGAGACTAATGGCTCGCTAATCACAGTTCAGGAAGCGAGTTCTGGACTTTTAAAACGTGGAATAGTTGACCTTATACTGCAATCTGGTGAAAATGATCAGTCTCTCTTCTCTTTAGAACTCTACAGAGGAGGCCTTGGGAGTTTTGCATCATCCTTTAAAGACAATTCAGATACACCTGACGAGGATGAAGCAGTCATTGCTGGAATGGATATAAGTATTCTCGGAGTTGACATAAGACCTTTCGTCTTGTTTTCTAGCCAGAGAGAACTCATAGGTCATATATGGTCTGGAACAGCATCAAAAAGAACACCGGTACTTCAGGGACTTCTTAATTTTCCTCAACACAAACAGTTTATTCCAATGTCATCAGGTTTTGTCATTGAAACCGAAGTTAATGGAGCTGCTAGTTTAGATTTGGCTGGGCAAGTGCAGCTTAGTTTATGGTCGCGAAAAGCACAATCACTCACAAATATTAGATCTGGCATAGCTATTATTGGATCTAGTAGAGTTCACTCGAACTTTATTCAGAGTTCAGTGGAATTTACACTGAGCATGGAACCCAAATTGGAATTAACTACTGACGCGCAGTACTCGGCTTCGGTGTTTCTGTGTATGAGATTGAGTCAACCGAAAACTACGATAAGGCATAATATTTACAAAATAGAAAGGATACCAGGCAGTAAACATAAATTAAGAAAGACACGCAGGACCGAGCTTTTGCTGCCAGCAAAGTCCTATTTTCTTGACATGAAAAACAACGAAATGTGCTCAAAACTAATCCAACATAATTGACTACTAGTTCTGTGGAACTTACATAATATTCTATAAAAGTACCAAATAAAAACTATTATAGGGAACTGATCTTATACTTAATTTCTTTCTAATTTAGTATCATATAAATTATCATTTAGCCCACATCATGTAAATCGTAGAATTTTACTAATAAAGTAATGTAAAAATAGAAAATAGGTTAAAAAAAAGGATAAGGATAGTTTATTAAAGAGGAAAAAATAATTTTTTCTAATGATAAAAATGTGATGAATTGTGTATCCCCATAGGATCTTATTTTACAGTGTGCTATATTTCAGAATACCTCATGCACATGTGTGACGTGCAGGGCGTTATCACACGTCTAACAAAGTTAATCTCCCATGCTACGCGTGGGAGTTTATATTTATTTTTGTTCTGGGTAAGTTCTTGACTGCCGTCCTATACAGGCCCGGTCCTTTGGATTGCCGTTAGGTGGGGGAATTGGGGTATGGTCTATTTAAATCAAAGATGCAGTAATCCCAATGAAATGATTCGAATATATTGTTACAACCCAATTTTGCTTAAGTGCTAGTTATTAAAATAGAAAATAAAGAAAGTGCCAGATGGTCTTACAGCTAGGTTATAATGGTCTCGTAATGCCGTGTCCACACTCACTCTTGCGTACTCACTCTCATACGTTCATTCGGCGTGCAACGTTAGACGCCCACGCCGCCTTGGTGTTGGCAATTCTTCTTCTCACGACTCGAGATCCTTCACTTTGGTGTTCACTTAAACTACACGACAATATTGTTCGTGGCAAAAATCAGAATACTAACATCTAAACTCACATTGACTAATACGCTACGCGTGCAACTCGTAGGGCTCGATACGTCTTAATCGACTTACATACGGCGATAGGTAACAGTACGCGGAACTCCCGTGAGAATGATAGCCGCCGCGCGATGCAATTTGTGAGGAGCTATTCCAGCCCGAACTATGCGCTCTGGTGTGTATCTGGAGACTGATTTGCCTTCCCTGTTCCATCCTACTGTCTGCTGGAAGTAGGTGGACAGGCAGGGGCAAATCTTACTAATTCAGCGGTTTTGCCCGCTCGCATGAATCCTGGAATTTTCGGTTCACACGTTTCGGCACGTTCTTGGTGCGATAAGACCGGAAACTAGCTTTCTCACATATTGCTGCAGTCGACATCTCCGAGATCGCGTGGTTTCTCTGTTGCATTTATGTGTGTGCGAGTTCCAAGATTAAAAAGGCACGGCACGTGACAGCATCCCCCCCTTAAGTATCGACGCCCTCGTCGATTCAATCGCCTTTTGGCAAGTAATTCGACGACGCCTCGATGCTCTAGGAACATGCATGGTGAAGATTTTGACAAGTGTATACAATAAAAATTTTCTTACGGTAAGTGAAGGTCTTACGCTACTGCTTAAGCTTATGATTACGCTGACAGGGCCTGGATTATAATTCTAGTGAGTCTATCGCATTGGCAGTGTTTCTTTTCTGCGACTGCCACCGCTGCAATTTTTGCTAAAGGTATCCTTTGTCGTCTGTGCCCCTTCCTTGCACCACTTTGGTCCCCGGAGGCTTTTTCTGAGGAGCCTCACATCCCTGATTCCTCAGTCTTACAACTGCATTCAAACCGAAACAACGAGATCGAGATCATGGAGGATATACGATTTGGACGCCATGGAATTTACGGCGCTTTTGTGTGCGAGGGGCCACCGCCACTCGAGCTTCTGGTGCTGCTGGTAAGTTACCGTTTTTGTTGCTCGACGTTCGTTATTTACTCCCTTCCTGTGGAATTGTTTTATCATTATTCCCTTTTGCCTTAGGATATCGGGGCGATTTTGATTCCGTCCCGGCGGAGGGGTCGCCCTCTTCGGGCCAGCATAAATGAGAGGACGGCCATCCGGCAGCACCGTGAGGCGTTACGGATCCGCAGTACCATCTTATGGTATAACGCCGAGGAGGAACCACTAGGGCTCGACGGCTTATTCGCCTTGGAGTAGTGCACCATTTTTTTTCTTTTTTTTTTTTTTAATAAAATTTATTTTTTTTTGCACTGGCTTTCACTTAAAATACTCAGTTTTTGTTTCTTGGCGTTCGTCGCGACTTTCCCATGTGACCAACTTTCCTATGTATAGTGCTACGTCTAGAGATATAGTGTAGTATTAATCAACCTGAGCCTCTTGGCGCGGGAGAATCCCGGTGGCAACGGTTGTCGGTGAGACCCGGGCCTCAGGTTCGCTAGCGTCTTTCGCGGTGGCTCTTGTACCACTGTTGCGGATACGATACAGGTGGCCTGTGCGTTTTCGGGGTAAAGGCATCGCTTCCCCAGCTTCTACATCGTTCTTCCGGGGAGTCAACCATCCACAACAGTTTTGTTTCCAGATAAACTTTTTACAAAAGTAACCGCAGAGAACCAGCACGAAGAGCCCCTGGAGAGAGAAGCCAACGATGGTCCAATGTTGCTGCTGCTGCTTGTTCCTTCTGTGCGTCCCAATCTCCATGATCTTTTGTTCGATATCGAATAGCGACTCGCCATCTTGCTGATATTTCCATGAGTGCGATTTCTCATTGGATTCGTCTATTACTGACGGCAATACCTTCTCGTCCGGAAGATCCTTTAGTATCGGTGCTATCAGGGTCACATTTAGGGTGGCTTCTGGAGCGTAGAAATATTGCTGCTGGCTTTCATAAGCTCTTATTCCAGTCAGCGTTGCGCTACGCGTCCGTCCTACGCAATTTGCACTGAGGTGAAATACACCTGCGCCACTCAATTTCTCGGTGGTGTCAACTAGTCCCGGGCAGAGTATGTGTACCGTTTCAGGTTGAGCAAGTGAGTACAACCAACCCCCTTGAGCAGGCAGGTGTTTCCAGAATGGGCCATGCCATGGAGTGACACGGACATTGCACTGCTGATAAGCTGATAACGATGGACGAGTCAGCATTTCTATTTCGCATCTTCCAGTGACAGATACTTCATAGACGGGTGCTTCAATGGTACAAATGTAATTGGAAATTACTTGCACGCATGCCGCAATGTATAGTGCATCGGCCAAAAAGTAGGTTCTTCGGTCTTCTGAAATGGCAATGTATGGGGCGGCCGGAATTATGTAAGCCGACCCTATTTGACCCCCTGCCTGAGGCACGGACCATGGGTGCATGTGATATAGCTGATAACGCGTTCTGTCGAGTAACGGGATATGTAGTACGATAATGAGGCGGCCTCGATGGAACACTAGGTCAGTGCGTACTATACGTGCTAAGATTTCGCCTCTCAAAGACTCTACGGCCAATGGAAACTCAAACTCTGGAGCTTGAAGTTGAATTTCCCGGGAGATCGCTGTTAATTGGTCTGTATGTAGAATGGCTGGATCGTATCGGCCATCTCGCGCTGCAGAGATCACTCGGAGATATTCCTCTCCAACCTTCACGTACTGTTCCAGTTTTAATTGAGCACGATACGCGAATCTCGTTAGCTCCGCATTGAATTTCATCTTCGCATTCTCCTTGTCCAAGTTTTGTAGCTGTTTCCAAAGCCCATCTATTCCGTCGTACAATTTATCCACTCTTCGGGACTCGCTTACGTGATCCTCATGGAGTTGTTGCAGCCGTGATGCGGTGATGTGCATCTGTCTCCCTATGAGTTGTGTTAAATTTGTTTGATCCGCAAACAATCGGTCTATCTGGGAGTGAATATATTCTGCATCTTCTTGATTCATTGTCCCGAATAACGATTTACTAATCGATCCAATTATT